TGTTCATTGACCTTGCCTAGCCCTACACTCACCAGAGGATGTTCCTTAGGGCAAATATTAAGTTCTTGCCCAAAGGCCTTTCCAAAAGATATTGGCATATCTCAAAGGGATGATTGGAAGCTTATCTCAAAGGGATGATTGGAAGCTACTGCAAAGAAAAATTGATTTTGAGGATGTTATTTCTAACTCTCTTGACGTATGGGTGGGGTGTAATTCAGTGTAGGCCAATCAAGAGGATGCATTCTTCAGATAAGGTGGATGATTATAAATTTGAAGTAAATTTGGGATAAATGTTTAAGTGAGAAGTAAAAATCATGCTGAACAAAGTTACCTTGATATGTCATTTTTCTCTGAAGTAATAAAAGAAATCACTATCTCTGACTACAAAGCAGTGGCAATAAAAATAAAAGGACTTCACTATATATGAAAAAGCATGTGTTTTAAATACATAAATTCAGAAAAATCTTTGCAATATATATGACAAAGGATTTAACTGTGTGACTATATAAAAGGCTACCTACATGGGGCTGGAGAGATGGCTCAGTGGTTAAGAACACTGACTGTTCTTGAAGAAGACCCAGGTTCGAATCCCAGTACCCACATGGCAGCTAACAAGTGCCCATGACTCCAGTTCCAGGGGATCCGAAAGCTTTTTCTGTCCACGGGCATTGCACAACACAGGTGCACTTGTCTACATGCAGGCAATACATGTACACATAAAATAAAAATAATAAATAATAATATTTTTTAAAGGCCACCTACAAATCAGTAAGGAGATGATAGATAACTCAATAGGAAAAGGACTATATCTATTGCTAGCTTATTCTTTCTCTGTCCTTGGTCCCTCCCTCCTTCCCTCCCTCCCTCTCTCCCTCCTTCCCTCTCTCTCTCTCCTGATAGATAAAACATGTGGAAAGAGGTTCAACTTCATTTGTGATTCAAGAATGAAAGGGCTCAGAATACAGCTCAGTGGTAGAGCACTTGCCTAGCATGTGCTAGATCCTAGGTTCAATCCCAGCATTGCAAAAAATAAGTAAAATTAAATAAAATATTAAAAAAGTGTTGTTTGAACACAAGAAAAAGAGATTGACAGAGCCAGTATTTTAAAAATATTTTATTTTTAATTTTTATTTATATGTATGAGTCTACATGTCTGTAAGTGAACCCGTGTTGTACAATGCTGGCAGAGGTCAGAAGAGGGCATCGGATCACCGGGAACTGGAGTTATGGTGGTTGTTAGCCACCATGTGGGTGCTGGGAATAGAACCTGGGTCTTCTGCAAGAGCAGCCAGTGGTCTTAACCACTGAGCCATCTCTCTAGCCCCCAGAGACAGTATTTTTGAAGGTCTGAAATAACTGTTCTTACATAGTCCTACATGGTTGGTATAAACTAGTATGACTTTAAAAATATATTTTATTTATTATTTTTATTTTATGTGTATGCATGTATTTGCCTGCATGTAGGTAAGTGCACCCGTGTCGTGCAATGCCTGTGAGGACAGAAAAGACTGTCTGATCCCCTGGAACTGGAGTTACATCCCCTGGAACTGGGGTTAAGAACAGTTGTTAGCTGCCATGTGGCTGTTGGGATTCAAACCCAGGTCTTCTGCAAGAACAGTCAGTGTTCTTAGTATGAGTTTTAAGAAGGAATTACAGGTAGTATTTGTTCTTAAAAAAAATATATATACTCTGACTCACTGATCATACTTGTCCTATAAATATGCAATATATAAATGCACAAAAATGTAGACAAAGACATTCACTAAGAACTATTTGTAGGGGCTGGAATGATGGCTCAGTGGTTAAAAGCACTGGTTGCACAATGGGAGGAAGATCATCTCACACCTATTATTCCCTACAAGGCTTAGGGACTTTTGTGGAAGAGGTTGGCAGAAAGAATGTAAGAGCCAGGGGAAGGGGTGGAGTGCCACCTAGAAGTGTCCTCCTACTACTATGCTGGCAAGCTATAGTCACATCTCCCTCCCAAGCTGGTCAAGGAGTGGATGGGGGAGTCAGTTACCCCTCTAACCCAATCAGTCAAGTGGGGATAGTGCTAAGGACATAGCCAGAACACCATTTTGTGTAGCTGTCAGGAAGTCATAGGCTCTATATCTATATTTGAGTGTGGACTTTCCAGAGCAACAATAAATGGGGAGGGCACCCACTCTTCTGTAAATGAACCCCCACCCTATGCTCTTGTTAGCAAGCCCCAATAAACTCATTAGGATTTTCCAAAAAAAGAACAGAGCTAATGGAAACCTTCATTGTTCTACCAAAGTTGACCCCATATTGACAAATCCTTCGGTCTTGGATTTCTTATTCCTAATTTCCCCCCTTAAACTTCATTGTATTTATATTTTTATCCTGCTTCAAGTTATTTCTGGAAAAATATCTTTAAAATTGCCTTTCTTTGGAATAATAAAAAAAGAAAAAAAAGTTTGTGAAATCTTGAGCATGCAGGGTTTAGTAAAGAGATCTTAGACTTGATTCCAAAGAGCAATTTATAAATGGGAAAACCAATAAAATGAATCTCATCAACATTAAAAAAAGTACTGCTCCTGTAGAGGACCCAGGTTCAGTTCCCAGCCCCTATGTGGTGACTAACAACCATCTGTAGTGCCAGTTCTAGGGGATCTGACACCCTCTTTTGACCTCTGTGGGCACTGCACCATACAGGTGCACTTACACACATGCAAGCAATATACTCATATACAGAAAATAAAAATAATGAATAGAATTTTTTTAACATGAACTGTTTGTAATAGCTCAACCAAGTCCATTAGCTTTTTACTAATTGCATTGCATCGGTAAATCAATGCAATGAAACATGAGGTGTAGCTACACATAACAATATAATGTTCAGAGTGCTTTATTACAATGCAGACAGTATAGCAGCATGTACAGTATGTTCTGATTGTAAAAAGATAATCAGCTTATGTATGCATAGAAAAGCTCTAGAAGGAACTTGTGTGATTGTTACCTCAGGAAGGGAAAGGCATAACTTTTACTGAATTCTGCACTATTTGAAAACTTTACCATGAACCTACATGCATTACTTTCATAATTAAGGAAAAGATGAAACAAAAATCTTAAAATGGATAAAAGGGAAATGAGGATAATTATAATAGGCCTGAAATAGTTTTCAAGTTGTTCTCTAAGATTATCTTTCCATTGCAAGTGTTACATCATACTGTGAGTTCTCCTTAGAAGAGTTCTCCATTATTTTATCTATTTAGCACCCAGAAGGGCTGAGGACATGGCTCAGTCAGTACAATGCTTGCTGCATATGCATGAAATCTTGAGTTTGAATCCCTAGAACCCAGGTAAAAAGCTAGTCACAGCACTCCAGGGCTGTAATATACATAAATAAGTAGATAGAGGCTAGTGAACACTGTGGAACATTTCCATCATTGTAAGATCTTCTACTGTGCAGTGCTGATGGAAGAGATAAAAGAGTCTATCAAGAAGTACTGCTTTGATGTCTTCATTACCAAACTATAGAGGCCCTGTATAAGTTTTATTCTGAATCACCAGAGACTGGAATAGAGGGTAATGGAATATGACATTAGCATTTGGTATGAATTGGGAAGTTTAATTTTCTTAGCAAAGATACCATGTGCTAGAAGGCCAGTATGGATCAAGTCCATAGGCAAGAAGGGAAGAAGAGGATATGTTACTCTGACTGGGCAGAAGCAAGTGGTCAGAAGGACTTTTGATACACAAAGGATGAATGTGGTTGAGACAGATATGAAAAGACGGAAGCTATTATTACATCTGGTACAACTAGAGAGATTAATGGAGATGAAATGGGTAGATAAAGTCAGGAGTTATCACTAGCAACTGTAACAAGAGTAGTTTCCATGAACAGAGGAAAGAATCGACGGTAGATACAGGAAATAAAGAGATAAGTTTCCAGTGAAAGGGTAAGTACCGAATGTAGTTTGGAATTAGATATTTCCTTGTCCTCTCTCACTAATGAACACTCTAGCACAGGCTGCCTCATCATACTGTTCTTCAGTGTACTGCACCTTGCAGACAAATGGAAGGCTTGCGGCAAACCTGTGTCAAACAGGTCTATAGATACCATTTTGCCAACAGCCCAGATAAATATTAAACATTTGAACAATGAAGCCTTATTAAAACTTTTTTATTTTTCTTTTTAAAAAATATTTTATTTTAATTTTTTAATGTGTATGAGTGTACTGCCTGAATGTATGTAAGTATATCTGTGTCATTCAACGCCTGTGGAGGTCCGAAGAGGGTGTGGGATACTCTGGAACTGGAGTTATAAACAGTTGTTAGCCGCCATGTAGGTGGTAGGAATCGAACCTGGGTCATCTGCATGAGCAGTCAGTGCTTTTAACCACGGAGCCATCTCTCCAACCCCTTATTATTATTTTTAAATCATGTGTATGTGTATGTGTCTGTGTGGGGGAATATATACATGAGTGTAGCTGCCTGAGGGGGCTACAGGCACTGGATCCCCCTGAAATGGGAGTTATGGTGGGCTGTCAGTCACCAGATGTGGGTGCTGGGAACAGAACTCAGGTTTTCCATAAAAGCATGATGAAGGACTCTTAAGTGTGGAGGTATTTCCAGCCCCAGAGTGAAGTTTTTAAAATTAAGGTGTGCACACTGTTTTAAACATAATGCTACTGCATGCTCAATAGACTATGATATAATTTAAACACAATTCTTACATGACTGAGAAACTTAAAAATTGGTGTGATTTGTTTTAGTTAGAGTGGGCTGGAACAGAACCTATAATGTCTGTGAGGTATGCTGGTACCCAATAAGTATCTGATGAATGAGTCTTTGGGAAAGAAAATCACACTGAATGCATAAATTCCTTTATTGAAAATATTAGAATAGCACTGCATTACATAGGTGATATCCATAAATGAAGGGTCACACATTTCTGTTTGGGAGAATCTAGGAGAGCTATGGGGGAAAATTGAGGATGAACAAGAGTGTATTTCATTGTACACATGTATGAGTGATCTATAGGCAAACAACCATCTTGTTCATTAATAGCATATGGTTACAAATGGCATAAATGGTAAATATAATCATCACAAGACATTCCTGGGATCTCACCAACTCATTTTTAGGAGCAGACTAAGGTCAAATAATATTTTCAACCAAGAGTTCTCAATGGAAGAACTTAGGTGAAAAGTATGTCTGGGCTATAGCCCTTAGAATTTTATAGCACTATTTAAACTTGCACAGGATCGGGGTGCAGTATGATAGCTGTTGGCCTGACAGAGGCCACTGGACAAGTTGTTTTCTTTTAAGAAGTCTAAAATGGAAGAAAAATTTTAAAGAGCTATTCTAAGAACTTAAAGATATGTAAATATATTTATTACTTTTCTTGTCAAAGATCACTGGGGAAATAATTTGTGATAGACTATTTTCAGCTTTTGCTACTATTTAAATTTGTTTTATTAGTAGTCTTTGGCTTTCATGAAAGTGGGGCAATTAATAATATTAACAATGTTTCTAATAAGGTTTTATTACCATTTAAAATAAGAGATGTTTTATGATGTGAAAAGGAGTTGATATTTTAAAAATAAATTTTCTTCTTTCTTTCAGTTTTGGTATGAATGCAAGTAAGAGTTCAGAGACCACGACAATTGACCCACCTCGACATTTTTCACTTTACTTAAAGTGGCAGAAATTAAACACTCCCTTTTTAAAACAGAAGCCTATGCATTAATGTAAACACTTGGAAGGAAGTTGTGTAAAATAAAACAAAACAAAAACACTAGGAAAACTAAGTCTGTTGTTAACACACACGGTTTCATACAAAGCAAAACATTTTCCTTTCAGAAGTAGAGATTGTTGTACATCTATGTTCATAGAGGTTTTCATTCATACAAACATTAACTTATGATTTTGAGAGATACTCTATTCTGCTTTACAAAAGTATATTTAGGGTATTAAAGTCTATCTTCTTACAAACTAAATAAAAAGCTGGTCTAAAATAGTCAAATCAATGAACATTGGTGAAGAGCTTTTGAAAATTCATGTGTGTGTGTGTGTGTGTGTGTGTGTGTGTGTGTTTGTGTGTGTAATGCTTAAGACCTATCACTCTAAACACCCTAAATAATCAGGGCAAAAAAATTCAATATAAAACTATACAACTCAGAGACTTGTTCCCCAAACATAGCACAAAATGTACACATTTCTTTATTCCAAGATTTGACACATTAAAAGAAAAAAAAAGTCAACACATTTCAGACGATATACTAGAAATAATAAATAAAATAGGTTAAAAAAAATCATACACTCCCTTAAGTGCTATATCCTTTCAATTTTTCTAAATCTGACTGAACTTTCCATGGCAAACAATAGCTGTACATTTGGTAAAATTAGGCTGATAAATACACAAGGCATGTGTGTATTTCCACAGTATCTTTTTCACAGTTACCAAAAATAAAAATCGCATTCACTTATACATCTATAAACACTCTGATTCCTCACTATGTGGATCTGGAAGGAGTGGAAGTCAACGTCTTTCAACATTCTGGACTTCAAATTTCTGTTTTGGGCATTTGCCCTCCTCATGTACCTTTCCGAATCTTTCTGTGATGTGATCGTGCTCTGAGATGATGGCAGAAAGAAAGCATTGCAGTGGAATGAGGCAGCCAGGGCTGGGATTTGTGTTCCGGCCAGCTTTAAAATGGCTGATGTAACCCAGTCTTCTTAATGTCATATTTTAAGGCAGCCTAAATTTCACTCAAATGTCCATACCTCTAGGTCCTGAACTATGAAGTCTTCTTTTTTGGAAAGAATATCATTATTAAAAGTACTGCAAGAGTTGCTTCGTCCATGGTATAAGTCAGCATCTAGCCATAAACCAAATCGTCCCCTGCGAAAAGGTTAAAGAAAGAAGGTGAGTACACTGACACCCATTCCACGCTCACCTGCCTTCCCTTGCCCGGTTTTCTTTCTTTTATGCCACGACAAGACAGAACTCTTAAAATGCTCACAAAATAAAACAAGTCATTTAAACTAGTATCTCCTAAAAGACAAATGGAAGGAGTCTCCTACCTGGGCACATGAATAAATCATTTTATCTTTGATTCTTAGTGCAATGTGTTAGTGGATTGTTTTAATTATCTAAACATATAGACTAGCTGACACCAAAAATTTAGTTACTTGGGTCCAAATAGACTCTCTTAGGTCAACTAGCAAATAGCGAAAGTCTTACCCTCCACCACCAAGTTCTAAAGAACTTATGTCTCCATTGATAAAATACGAGTTTTCTCCACTCCACTTAAAGACCTAGGGATAGACACACAAAGCACAGACATTTCAGTCTGGAGAATTAACAGAGAGGATACCTTTAAAATACTGTTGTGCGTGAGGGAAACACACCTTTGATTAGGAAAGCTCCTTGGCCCTAGTCAGACCAAGCCCATACCACAGAAAGACTGCTACTGGGTTTTGAAATAATAAAAGACCACTGTCTATTATGAGCTGGCTCTGACCTTGAGCCTCTCCCTGAATCCCATACTGAGCAACCCCGAAGGCAGGGTCCCTGAGCAGTTTATGTGCTATAGTCATGGAGAACTAGACTCTGACCACAGAGTTCAGATGAGATTACAGGGCAGCTGCCACCAGTGTTCCCCCACCCCCCACCATCAACAGTTCAACCCTGGCAAGTCACATAGTTTGCCCATTTAGGTACCTTAAAATTAGGGCTAAATGTGTAGAGAAAAGTTTCGCCTGTGCCATAATAGTGGTCACTGAACTTGAATGGATGAGTTGCATAAGCTCCAAAAATCTATTAAAGGAAAACAGAAATGTTAGCTATTTTCAAAACTATACCTCCATAGAAATATGCCTTCTGAAATATTTTTGACACAATAATATTCTGGCAAAGATTATTATTAAATTGGAACTCAAGTGAAAAAAAAAAAAGCATCATACAGAGCAATCAACGTAATATCCCCAGTTCTAATTGCAACCCATGTGGCCAGGATTCCTGGTACATGGAACATCCATCACAGAAACTCAGAAAACTTGTTTGTTAAAGGCCAACAATTTGTCTCAATTTTTAAAAGACTGCCAAAGTCCAATATGAAGACAAATTCCCTTTACAACATATTGCAAACATTAAATAAATCACATTAGAGATGTGATTGTGTCCTCACTAGCACTCATTTCTGTGTCTGAGACACATCTTTCTACTGTTTATTTACTTTTGTTTCTTGAGACAGGGTCTTACACTATAGCAAAGGCTACCCTGGAACTCACTGTGTAGCCTAGGCTAGCCTCCAGTTCTTCACAGTTCTTTTGTTTTAGCTTACTGGGGTTATAGGCGTGAGCTATCATGTCTCGTTTTCTTATGTTCTTTATAAGTGAGCTCATAACTGGGCACCTCCCCCCAAATATACTTTCCTCACTTTTGAATTATAATAATGAGTTATTAATGTGCTTAATACTATAACTTAATATGATTGACAAACATACTCAGATTGAAGTGACTTTTAGTAAAAAGGCAACTGCAGGCTTTAAATGTGACATGTATTTATTTATTTTTAAAATATTTTATTTATTATTTTTATTTTATGTGTATGAGTGTATTGCCTACATGTAGGTAAGTGTACCCATGTTGTGCAATGCCCGTGGAGGACAGAAGAGGCTGTTGGATCTCCTGGAACTGGAGAGTCAGTGTTCTTAACTGCTGAGCCATCTCTCCAGCCCCAACAAGTGTATTTAAATCAATTCTTTTAAAAAATATTTTACTTATTATTCTTATTTTTATGTGTATGAATGTATTGCCTGCACGCATGTGAGTGCACCCGCATCGTGCAATGCTGTGGAGGTCAGAAGAGGGCTTTGGATTCCCCTGGAACTGGAGTTAAGGACGGTTCGTAGCTGCCATGTGGGTGCTGGGAATCGAACCCGGGTCCACTGCAAGAGCAGTCAGTGCTCTTAACTGCTAAGCCATCTCTCCAGCCCCATTTTCTTATTATTTTTATATTACGTGTATGAATGTATTGCCTGTATGTAAGTACGTAAGTATAAGTGTGCAATGCCTGTGGAGGTCAGAAGATGGCATCAGATCCTCTTGGACTGGAGTTACAGATAGCTGTTAGTCACTATGTGGTTTCTGGGAATCAAACCCGGGTTCTCTACAAGAGCAGTCAGTGCTCTTAATTGCCGAGCCATCTCTCCAGCCCCAGCACACTTTTTCTTCTTCTGTTCCTTGTTGAGCAGCAGAAGGGGAGTTAAGTTATGGGCTATGCACTGCCTCTGCCTCAGCTTCCAGTGCTTCTGTTCCCATCCTAAGCAGCATATACGGAGTGAGAGTGAGGAGATGAACATAATATTTCAACATGCCATTCAGTGATTCCTTTATCTTCTACTCTAAATCCTATCTAAGAAACACTAATAGATGTTATCTGAAAAAAAGTCTCATAATTTTTCAAAAGTATTTTAAGTGGATAAAAATTACCATGTGCTCTTCTCTTCTGTAATTCTATTTAAAATCCTAAACATTAACAATTTCTAACTCTAACCAGTGATTGTCATGCTTTCTATACAAAACTTTTCTCTACAGGTGCTAAGGTTATTTTGTAACAACAAAAAAATATGTTCCTTTCTTCCAGTGATCTTTCAATAAAGGAACTAAAATACAACAAATAGCCTCTATTTTCTTAAATCATGTTATGATGTGACAAGAGCATAGAAACCTTTAACAGGCAGGAAATGGGTCCCTACAGATGAACCAATAGGAAAAACTGTCCACATTCTCTTGCCCTCTGCAGAACTCTAAATAATATTCCTTACCAAAAAAGTTTTTCAGCAATCATGGAAATCAATTTAAGGACCAGGGATTGAATAATACCAGGGAATTACTGTTAGGACTATTTATTGGGTCTTTTGTTTAGGAATTGCATAAGAAATAACTATGGTCTTATAAAATAGTTTATTATTATTTTTACTTTATGTGTATGAGTGTATTGCCTGGATGTATGTGAGTGCACCCGCGTTGTGGAATGCCTCAGAAATCAGAAGAAGGTGTCGGATTCCCGTGGAACTGGAGTTAAGGACAGTTTGAAGCCACCATGTGGATGCTGGGAATCGAACCTGGGTCCTCTGCAAGAGCAGTCAGTGCTCTTAACTGCTGAACCATCTCTCTAGCCCCAAGAAATATCTATGGTCTTTTTTTCTATTCATTTATTTAGGGAAAAAAGTACATAAAGTAATTTGTGCATAATGGCATTGTTTGACTTATATGAAAATGTAGTATGTTTAGGAACAGTAGAAAAGAACCTGTACAAATGAAGGAAACAGGAAATGATAAAGGCTAATATAACAAAACCTATGAGTGTATGATTGCTCTCCTTTTTTCCCCCCGTTTTTCTTTGTGGTGCTAAGGACTGAATCCAGGGCCTCAAAGATGCTAGGAAAGCAGTCTGCCACTGAGCTACAACCCTAGTTCTCATTTTTTTCCCTTTCGTTTTGAGATAGCCTCTCACTAGGTTATCCAGGTTGGCCTTCAACTTGTGATCTACCTGACCCTCCTGAGTAGTTATGATTATAGACTTGTGCCACAGGCCTGGTTCTCAAACTCAACTAAGTTAATAGATATGAAATATGACAGTGATCTCAACAGTTTGCTTTTGTCTTTGTAATCTATTGGGGCATAATATGGATAACAGTATCATAAAAGTGGGGGTGCAATACTGTAATACAGATGTGTTATTTCTATGCCTCATTAAAGCTATTGTAAGTTATGCTCTATTAACTGTTGAAGATCTGCCAGTTTAACAATTCCTTGTGTCATAAATTACTCCATAGTTTGGTTTGATTACATTTAGGTCCCTCTGAAGAGATATTGCCTTTGGCCAGCCTATGAAGTTTTTCTTGACTTTAAGAAAATTCTATTTAGGTATCTTTTTTCCAGGATTAGCTAAGGGGTCACTGCTTAGTTTGTTGTCTTCCTAGAACTACCTGCCTTCTCTTAATTGTTTATTGCCAAATTTCTCATTGCTGCTGGGAATACCGTTTGGCTTGAATTTCCCTATACTCATCTAAACAAAGTCAGTTCCTTTGGAGAGTGTCAGAGCTTCATGTCCTTGGCCTGCCTCTTCTGGAATAAGTCTCTAAGTCACTGAACTGGAGCCTGGGTTATACATCAGACTGCTTTCATCAGAGGAGTAATTTGGCTTTATGAGCAGGGTGCTGGTCATTGGCAGCAAACTCTGGCCTTGGCTTGTCTCAGAAGTGTGGAGCTGCTGCTGCAACAAGAACACTGGAGAGTCTGCTCAGCACGTCATTCCTGTGGCAGAGCATCTAATCTGAGTGCAGGTGGTGGAAGAAGGCCTTCTACCTCTAGGCCACATATGTCCAGATTTTAGTCTCTGAAACATCAGTCTTGGGAGTGGTATAGGAAGTATGGGGACCTGCACCCCAGACAGGACAAACTACTGGCAACAGAGGGTAAAGGGAGTCCCATCTCCTCCGCCACAAGTACCCAGAGTAGAACTTCCAAAGATTTGAGCTCAGGGTTGTTGGAAGGGTTAGAAATGAGCTGGGTCTCATGTACCAAAGAATTTCATTGTTATTACAGAGATTTATTAGATTTTCTTGAATAAATATTTCTTCACTTGCTGTACGCCCTGAGGACAATTTCCAGAGACTTTCCAGAGACTTTAAAGGACTGTTGTTTTTACACTTTCCACCAGTCATATCCCTTTCATTACAGACTGAGTCTGCAGAGCTCCTGGCTGCCGACATTCTACATGTTCAGTATTGACTTCAGATAAATGCACAGGTGTTTTTACTGCCGTGTTCCCACAAACAGCAAAGCCACATTCTTTCCTTGGGGGTGGAGGAGCTAATGTCCAGTGTCTTCAACCAGTACAGAGGTTGAGGGTCCATGATACATAAGACCACTTTCTGAGAGGAAGCTTCAGCCTCAGGCCTCTGCTACATCACTGCTGACAGGAAACTCAGTGAAACTGTGCTTCATCAATGCCTGCTACTGTAGACCTCATATTCTTTTTTATTTTAATATTTTATTTCTTATTTTTATTTTATGTGTATGAGTGTATTGCCTGCATGTATGTGAGTGCACCCGTGTCATGCAATGCCATGGAGGTCAGAAGAGGGCTTCGGATTCCCCTGGAACTGGCGTTAAGGACGGTTCATAGCCGCCATGTGGGTGCTGGGAATCGAGCCCAGGTCCTCTGCAAGAGCAGTCAGCTCTCTTAACCACTGAGCGATCTCTCCAGCCCCGGCCTCATATTCTTTAAGTTTAACATCATTGTTTAACAGACAGGCAACATACATATTTGTTTTTTTTTGATTTATGGATTTGTCCATCTAGTCCTAGCATATCTGAAACATAGCACTTAATTTTTCAAACATTTCATAAATCCCCATATGACTTCACTTTAAAAAACTGGTTGTATTATTTTAATTTTCATCTTACTTGTACCCATTAGTCAGCTTGAATCATTATTAAATAAAATTTCATGTATCAGGACATAATAGTAATCAAAATAGTAAGTTATTCTCCTCCCCACAATTCTTAATATGATAACAAAGCCATAAAGACAGCACCTTTAGTTACACCATTTGGACCATAATGTTTCCCAAGACAAATTATGACAGCACACACTTTTCTTACAATGATACCACTTACATGGCTCATTCAGAGGGGGGCAAGCTGTCAGAATAGAGATTCTGTGCTTGACAGAAAGATCCTCCATGAATAATATAGGCTGAGCAATCCTAATCTGAAAAGCTCTCTAAAACTTTTTGAGGCCAACATGATGCCACAAATTTTAAAAATGCATCAAGAAACTTTGTGCCATAAGCAAAATTATGAAAACATGAGTGTGTGTGTGTGTGTGTATGTAGTACTGTAAAGCGATTGTGTCCTATCCCCAAGATATCTCATTATGCATATAAAAATATTCCATGACCCCCAAAATCCAAATTTCAAAACACTTTTATCCCAAGAAGTTTGGATAAGGTATATCCAACCCGAGATTTCCTATACCTAATAGGTACTGACTACATTACCTAACTAGACAAATATGTAAAGGAGTAACTTTTATAAAATCTGCTCCAATGCCAGAAGTATGAAAAGGATTGCAGACCTATCTTAAAGTCACAGGGGAATTTCTTCTTAATATAACACTGATCAAACAGGAATGATTGAGAAGAGGCCTGCACCACACCTTCCTTTTGAAAGCTAAGAAGAGCCTGACTGGATAGTAATTGAAAGTTGTGTGCACAGCTCCATTCAGTGTAAGCTGACTTGAGGGAGGAGCTAACAGTGTAGGGGGATCCGGGGTACTACACATCTCCAGCAGCTCCCAGAAGGCAAGCTGCCACATAGGTAAAAGCAGAACCAGAAAAAGATCGTCAGTCCCTGTGGCAGATGAACAGTTAGACCACAGGAACAGCATGCAGAGGCTTGACTATTCTCCACCACAGCTGCCCTGAAGGCAGCATTTGCGGGCACTACTTCAGCCACTTGGGAAAAGCTCTTGCATATCACTGGAATTATTTTTGCAACTGTCTCCCAATCCAGACTTGGCTTTCCCTGACTTTCAGCTTTAAGTTGTATATTATTTTATCTTCCCACTTCATGATTAGCACTGGGAAAAATCCCTTAGAATGTAACTATCTTTGATGATTTGATTTACTTTCTTTTAATCACAAAACACTTCATCAAAGAAAACAAAAAACAATGAAAAAGAAGATAATAAGGGGCTGGTGAGATGGCTTAGCACTGGCAGCTCTGGCAGAGAACGAGTTCAGTTCCCAGAACCCATATGGTAGCTAATAATCATGTGTTAGTAACTCCAGCTCCAGGGGATCTGACATCTTCTTCTGGCCTCAGCAGACATTGCCCGCATGAGTGCATTTATATATATGTAAGCAAAACACTCATACACATAAAACAAAACAAAACAAAAACATAAAGCAAATGTGGCAAAATTCAGGTAGTGGGCTTATGAGTTTCTTATACTAGTCTCTCTAGTGTTGGGAATGTTTAAAATTTGTGATTATACATGTTTTTAGGCTGGGGTTATAGCTCAGTTAACAGTGGGTTTATCTAGCATGCATAAAGCCATGGGTTTGATCTTCGGCACCACATAAACCCAGCATGGTGGCACACACTTGTAAACCTGGCATTTGGGATGTGGACGTAAGAAGATAAGTGTGAGCTACATGAGACCCTCTCTCCAAAATAGAACACTTGCTCTCTGTGAGAGGAGCCTCACCTGATTATCCATGTCTTTGATGACCAGCAGAACAGGACTATCTAGAGATGCTGATTTCCGGTAGAGGGTTTTCAAGCTTGTTCCATGCTCTAACGTGCTATAGGCCAGTCTCCAGGGATACCCTTGTACCCTAGCTGGAAGACGTCGGGCCAACTGTCAATCCAAGGAAGGAAAAGTAAAAAGACAGCTTAACTACAAATCAGTCATGAACCAGTAGGAAATACAAACCAGTGACCAAAGTGAAAAAAATCATGTACTTACTTACATACTGATCTCCTTTGCCCTGGCAAACATTTGCCACCATAGGTCAAGAAAGAGAAGGGAAATCCGGACAGTGTACCCCTTGGCACAGATGCTGCCCAGGAGATGCTCTCCTCACTCAGGGCCTAACTGGGGGCTTCCAAGGTCTCAGTGCAATCCTGTGCTTCTCAGCCATGGCTATGCACACTGAGAAATGTGTTCTTAGGCAACTCTGTGGTAATGTGAATGTCGCAGAAAGTTTGTACACAAACTGAGATAGCTACAATGTTACCAGATAATATAATTGTAGGGGACCATGTCATATGTGTGCATCACTGAACAAAAGTCCTATGTGGTGTACTCTGTGCATTTGAAGACTCCCACAGGTCAAGATGAACAAAGGAGCATCAATTAGACATGGTCTTTCTTTTATAATTCAACCTGACCTTTATCATACGTTTTCCAATTCTTCCTTCTCGCCAAAATATGTCATCAAAGGCAGCTATGAAACAGTATGTATTCAGACTACTGAAGGTCAGCTCGTCAGTGGCATGAATCCTATTTCTATAACTGGTCAAGTTTCTGGGCTTCCTGGTTTGATACTTTAGGCTTTGGGAAATTCAGAACCCCGAGCGAACTGATGAAAGAGGTAAAACAGATTCCTAACTAAGCTCTAGCTATGAGCACATAATATATTTCAAAAAATTGAAGTAGTAGACTTTCAGAAAGTACAAAGTAAACATAGACCATTATAAAAGGAAAATTCTTCCTGGAGGCAGGTGTTTTGCTTCTCACAAAAAAGTACATCTGCTATATTATTTTTATTAAGTCCTATAAATTAAAGCCACTAGAACTCTGCAATGATCACTAGGATCATAGGTGCATTAGCACTATGGCAGAATTTTTTTTAAGGTAAGAAATGGCCTTTTACTTCAAGCTTCAAAGAAGGATGCTAATGTCTGACCAGTTCCTCACATTCTCAAAAATGCCACGGAGAAGGCTGCTATAACTTTTCAGAAGCTGAGAAGGGACTCTGGCTATGGTTAGGCTACAGGTTTCTGCTTCCTAATCTGGCTAGCCTTTACTCTGGTCAGGGCAAGGGACACTCCAGAAGGCTTGGAAGACCCCTGTGCTCAGTCCCAGGAGAACCCACCTGCTCGACGTGCATGTTCTCCAGGAGTGCACTGTGAGGCTGCAGGATGGGTAGTCCCTCGTCCTCCTCCTCATCATAGTAGCTGCATGTGCTCTTCCTGCGCTTTGCCTCCTCAACAGTGATGATCTGAGGGGAGGGAAGAATAAAGTGAAGTAAAAGCGGAGATGTGCTTTCTCCAGAAACTACCTCAGGCACACAACTGCCTGAAAAGGTAGAATGTTGGGCAGCAGGAAAGGAACTGGAAAGGACTTTGGGGAAATGACTACATTTTCAAATTCAGAACAAATGTGGAATTTAAACCATCGTGACTGAAACATTTACTGTGCATGATTTAAAATCATGAGCTTTCCAGTTTTGCTATTGCTGTTGATTACTCAGTACTTGAGTGGGAACTGTTTGTAACTCTATACCCAATTTATATCCTTGAAAATGTTCTAAATCAGTCTCCTGTAGCCTGTGTCCAAATTTAAACTGTAAAGGAAATAATCAGAAATACTTCAGTCAGTCTTCTATAAATGAGGCATTTGGAACGATAAGGACCATTTTTAATCAAGCTTCCTGGTTGTATACATAGCAACCAAGTCTGATAGAAATAATGAATAATAACAGCTGCCAGGAGCAAACACAGGAGAAGCAGGAAGCTTTCAGTTACAACTAGGTTACTGTTGTTTTTATACAACCAAGAATGATAAAAAAATTCCCTTCTAAATTGAAAGACATTGTATTGCACACATCTACTATTGAATGATAATTTGGGTTTACCAAAGTCCCCACCTTAAAAATCTGTATTTTGTCCCTCTCAAGTTCTAGATAAATCAGTAAACTGTTTTGAAATTTACAAGGGATAACTACTTTTCTAAAATGCATGGCCACCAGTATTAATGACTTTTGGATTATAGAGAAAAAGTGTTTAATTTACATCTAGTGAAAGTTGTTAGGTAACGAACGCATTACTCCGCTTCCCCCAAAATTCACAGTGACACATACAAAATTACTCATCTCTCGGGTCAGATTTCAGGTTGGGAAATTCAGTTAAAATTTTCCCATCCCCTAATGGAGAATTTACTCACAGAAAAACACTTTCAAAGAATCACAAATCCAACATTTTAAATGTATTAAACAAAGCGCTATGTTTTGTGTTGTTGCTTTCAAATTCTACAATTAACTATCAGTACAGAATGAGGCTGTGGAATGAAGAAATTCAAGCACGGATTTCTAATTTCAGGAAGGGCCACCACAGCAAATAAAAGAACCTGCTCTGGGAGAAATGCTGTACTACCCTTTCTAACTAGAAGGAATTTCAAACACATGGCATGTCAGATCGCAAAGTACTCCCGGTACCCCATTATCCCTCAGGAACACTCCCACCTACCTTCACAAAAGGCTCTTGGTCAGGTCTGGCACAATAAAAAATCTGAATGTCCAAGGGCAACCTTCTGCCTCTCATGGTGACTGGAGAGAAGTGTCTGCCTGCTCACTAACGAGGAACAGGTCTTTCTCAGGCTGCCTGCACACCCGCCACTTGCAGCACGCTGAGCTACAACTGTTTTTCAGTATCTAGCTTCCTGAATGATTGAGTTTCTGTTTCCCTCAGGAGGGGGTTCAACATTTCTACAGGAACACACCCAAATTAGGATTTAGAGCTCGCACACTTCCTGTCAGGCTGAGCCTGAGCCGGTAAAATGACTCTTTCACCTTAGAAACCCGGGTGTCCTAACAGGATAAAACCCTATTGTCTGTGGGTTTTGATTTTTCTCTTTTTCTTCCCGGAACTTTTCCTTCTAATGCCCTCCGGGTAACTTAGCTGTTTACAGCCTGTCTTTTTGAGTTTTCTTTCAACACCTTCTTTAAGCCTAAACCTCCATTTTAAATGTGGTATCGGTTCCCAGCATCCCTTTGTATTCTGAAGAATGAGAAGAGGCATTAATGGAGGTAGATTCACTTCAGTGAGAACAGTTTCTATACAATGTTGTGCCTTACAGAGTGGGAGACATTTGATTTATGGGAGCTGTGCATGATGCCATTTTAGATGCAGTTTTACAAAATAGGTGGCAAAGCAATATTTATCTTCTTACATTTTAGAATGAGTCTTAGTAAGTGATAAGCCCGCTGGGTCCTCTTCTGCTTCTCAGATCATTTGACAGGAGTTTGGAAAGAAATACAGATCTGCACTAGATCAATTTTTACCCATCTTTCTGTGACTCCAGAATGCAGGGCGTTTTGGTCCAAGGAACTACAAAAGGGATGACAGTGTATACTCATCCTGGGGTAGGTTATAAAGTGGACTCTGGTGGATGAGCAGCCAGTACTGACCCTCAGAATCGCTTAGATTCTGTGCCCTGGAGAAATGTTTCTGTGTGCTCCTGAGGGCTGACATTCATTAAGCATTTCCTGTATGCTGGGGAGTGCCAGGTGCTTTGTTAGGCAGAGGGACACAAAACAATCCACAGTCTCCTTCAGATAGAAGATAAAATGTGATAAGGAGGCTCAAAGGAGGTTGGGGACACCTGCAGTGTTCTGAGAAGGCTTATTCACAGGAGAGAGGGTGGTTCCAGCTGTGAGCAGGGTAGGGTGCAGGGAGATAAACCTAGTGCAGGTCACAGCAAGAGCACAGGGATGGGTTCTAGGTTTATGATGGTTGAAGAATAAAGAACAACACAAATAGAGGTGAGGGAGGTGGGTAAGATCTGGAAAAATGAACATCAATGCCTTGAAGAAGCCGTGCCCTATAGGAGATCAAAATTATGGATTCTAACATTTCTTTTACAGACTTACTAAGTCAAAGTATTCAGAGGCAAGGGTCTAGGATTCAGCTTTTTATTTTACTTATTATTTTAATTTTATGTGTATGAGTGTATTGTCTGCATTCATGTAAGTGCACTCATGTCATGCAATACCTACAGAGATCAGAAGAAGGTGTTGGGTCCCTTGGAATATGGATGGTTGTGAGCTGCCTGCCATGTGGGTACTGGGAATTGAACCTCAGTCCTCTGTAAGAGAAACCAGAGCTCTTAACCTCTGAGCTATCTCTCCAGCTCCGGGATTCAACTTTTTAAAGATCCACAGAAGACTGGCGATATGGCTTAGCATGCAAGAGTACTTTCTGTGTAAACAGGAGAACCTGAGTTCGGATCCCTGCACCCTTAAAAAGCAAGGAATGGCCACTTAGAGGCCTGTAACCCCAGTACTGCATGGGGCAGAGACAGGAGGATCACTGGGGCTTGCTAGCTGACAGCCTAGCTTCACATTCAGTAAGGGACTATCTCAAAAGAATAAGGTAAAAAGTGAAAGGAAGGACACCTGACATCTTCCTCTGGGCTCTGTGAGCCATATACCTTACATCACTCCCCCCCATGCATGTACACACACTCACTTTCCAATCTAGCAAACATTTAGAAAGGAACAAAAGTTGTAATAGCTCCAATCCTTTGCGCTGGCAGAAGCACAGCGGGAAAGCCAGTCCTCACACTGCTGGCAATATAAAATTAATAAATAATAATAATAGTGATATATAAAAATTAGGAGCCTTAAAATTACTGTCCTTTTGCCTCATAATTTCTATTTCTGGGAAACTGAAAATAGTCAATAGTAACTGAAATAATCAGGATTGCAGATCTTCTCATCTTTGTGAAATGCCAGAACCAACATAAGGATTCAAGTGAGAAATTGTTGGGGTATGGTGGTACATGCTTGTAATTCCAGCACTTGGGAAACTGAGGTAGGATGATCTTGAGTTTGAGGCCAGCCTGGACTACACAGGCCTGACTAGGCTACATAGTGAGACAATATCTAAGAATAAAAAATAAAAACAATTGGGGCTGGAGAGATGGCTCAGTGGTTGAGAGCACTGACTGCTCTTGCAGGTTTGATTCCCAGCACCCACACAGCGACTAAGAACCGTCCTTAACTCCAGTTCCAGGGGAATCTGAAGCCCTCCTCTGACCTCTGCAGCAATGCATGATGGTACACCCACATACCTGCAGACAATACACTCATATACATAAAATAAAAATAATAAATAAAAAATATTAAAAAAATAACTAAAAAAACAAAAATGAAACAAAAAATATTAGATAACCATTAACTAAGGCCCTTAAAACTTTCATTGTATGATGAAATTTTTACAATATACCAGATGATAAAAGCCATATACAAAACTATATAAAACAAAAGACTCATCCCCTCAACTACAGAATACCCCAAAGCAAAATCTAAAATAAAATTCAAAGAAATGTTTTAAAGTGACAAGTATTGTTAGACACACTATTTTCTAAATTTCTGAACTGCACTTTTCAAATGGCTTCCAACAGGTAAGCATTGCTTTTACAAAATGAAAAACAATAAAGTTTGAAGATCATGAATATGGATCAGGGTGGACTGGAAGATGGGTTGGGACTGGAGTAAAGCTTGAGTCTAAGACCAGAATTATTGGATTCTAGGTGGAGATGAGCTGCCTGGTCAAGATGATGACAGAGAAGGATATGTTATGACACCTGAGTTTCTGAATGAGGCACCGCTAAGATGGAGACATGTGCAGAGAGGCAAGCTTTGGAGGATGAATATTCTGAATAGTTTTCTGAATGTTCTGATCATCCTAGGGGAGTCCAGGATTCTCTGAGGGACAGTGGTTGTTCTCCCAAGACTGCACCGTAGAGTTTGCTTCTAAACTAGGCTTCCAAAGTAAGGTCTGGGTGAGGGTACTGAGAGCTTCAAGTCAAACCTGCTACTTCTTCCTCCATTTTCCATCTCCTCTTCCAGTAAAAGTCTAGACACAACCCCTCCTCAGTGGCTGTGGGGCTAAGTTCTCAACTCTCCTCTCTTCTAGATCCTCGAGTGGACCTCTCCTCTGCCTGGCTCTTTAGGCCCTTGTCATTGGTGTGGATATATATGGGTTCTTCTCTCCCTGGGGTTGACAATGGCTGAAATTCAAGTTCAAGATGAATGGGAAGAGGAAGAATACACCTTAATTTGACTACTTTGGCTCATGGTATTCAGGTTGTCAAGAAAGAATTAAGTCCTTGTCACCAATCTAAACCTTTTTGCTGTGTTGGGTGAACAACCACAGCCTCAGTAATTAAGTCACCTTTTTCTGGCATTGCATCCTCTGTGTCAGTAGTTACTGAGAAGTGAGGACAGGACAGGATAGTCTTGCATCCCACATCCCTTGGTCAAAACACCAGTGTCAGCCACACCATCATCATCATTGTCCACTGGACCTATGGGACATCTGTGAGCTCTAGCATAGTATCTTAGAGGAAAGAGGCACAAGGACATTTAGGTAAATATAAATAAATTAAATAAATAAATATAAACGAACAAACAATAGGAGATGTCTGTGGGGGCTTTCAATGTGATTTCAATGGTGAATGGAGAGCAAGCTGGACTGCAAGGTGATAAGGTTCAAAGGACAGTTAAAAAGCTAAAGAAGGTGAATATGATCCATGGTGACAGAAAGAAGAGTGATAAGGAAAAACCTATAAACAGATTGAGTGAGAAGGTCAGAGAAATAGTTCAGCAAGTAAAGTGCTTGCTTTGCAATCAAGCATGAGGACCTGAGTTTAATCCCCATAACCCATGGGGGAAAAGAGCTAGGCATGGTAGTACATGCCAGCCTGGCCTACCTGGCTGTTCATAGGCCAACAAGAGGTAGAGAGAGAGAGAGAGAGAGAGAGAGAGAGAGAGAGAGAGAGAGAGAGAGAAGACCCTGAGTAGTGAGGAGCCACACTCAAAATTATCCTCTGGATTAAAGGAGAAATTTCTTCCTTGGTTTTTGCCCTTAAAAAACAAAACAACAAACAACAACATAATATCCTGCTGAAAGATAAGGAGTCAAGTAGAAGGAGAAAGCAAAGACAAATAAGGACAGCTATAGCTGATAAAAGCCAGCCTTAGTGAGGGAAAAATACTGTTCCCCAGGAGTCAGAAATTAAGGGTGTAATAACTGATGATTAAAAATGGAGAGGATCAGGGCTGGAGAGACGGCTCAGCAGTTAAGAACACTGAATGTTCTTGCAGAAGACCCGGGTTTGAATCCCAGCACCCATATGACAGCTAACAACTGTCCATAACACCAGTTCCAGGAGATCTGACAGCCTCTTCTGCCCTCTGTGGGCACTGCATGACACGGGTGCACTTACCTTTATGTAGGCAATACACGCATACACATAAAAAATAAAAATAATAAAGTATTTTTTTTAAATGGAGAGGATCAGGGATGAAGAGATGGCTCAGCATTAAGAGCACTTGCTGCTCCAAGTTCAGATCCCAGCACCCATGTCTGATGGCTCACAACTGCCTCTAGCTCCAGGAGATCTGATACCCTCTTCTAGCCTCTGAGGGCTTTGGACTCACATGCAAAACACTCATATAACTAATTTTTTACTAAAATAAAAAAGAAAAATAGCAAAGAGGGAAGGTCAGGAAAAAAAATCTTGTCTAATGTTTCTCTGTAGAGTGAAAGGCAGGCCACATTCTAGAATGTATAGATGCTGAAATGAGCTAGAGACTAGGTGAGAAGTTAGAATGGGAGGTGGCTAGAAGAGAGAGAACTTCTAATGGAATGAGGAGCCAGATGAATTCTGAAACCATGCATTCACAAAGATAACGCCCTCTCTGATTTGCAGCTTTTGTTTTGTTTTTTTGAGTTGGGGCCTAGTCATGCTGCCTAAGTTGGTCTCAAACTCCTGGACTTAAATGATCCCTCTTGGCTTTGCCTACTGAGTAGTAGGATGGCAGGTGTGTGCTACCATGCCTGGCTTTGGTTTTAGGTTTGCTACAGCAGTGCTTGACAGTTTAGGATCAGAACAAGTGTGAGGGTGTATTTACCCTGGCTAGATGGGTATGGTGGATGGAAAGAGGACTGAGCAGTTCATGTGCCCTGATAAGGAGGAGGGGTTTCCCCGAATTCCTTCTCAATCTAGATAAAGTGGGAGAGTAGAAATGCTTTGAGGGATCCAAGATAGGTACAGAACAGAATGGAGGCAAGGAAGCAGGCACCACAGAGATCAAGGAAGAGGCATGAAGGGGTAGTAGACATGTTCTTTGTTTCCTCTTTTGCCTTCTCAGTTCTGCAAGCTTATTAAGAGAACCTGTCTACCTATCTCTATATTACCAGAACATGACCACACAGAGGCATTTTGTACATGTTGGTCTGACTGAATGAAGGAAACTTGATTGGCAAATTATAACCTGTCAGCCAAATCAAACTCACCGTCCATTTTTGTAATGCATAGGAAGTAAAGTTTCAAATCTATTTTAAATGGCTGGAAAAAAAAAAAGAATAGAGTTTTGTGACGTAAAACAGAGATTTGAAGAAACGTGATCCTCTCTCCACTGCTAATCAGGGTCATAGGTAAAAAAGGTAATGTCAGAGTGCCTGTGACTGTTATACACAGAGTGGGCACTGCAGGCCATGGAACTGAAAGCCCCAATCCTCTGCTCCACAGCTGGCCATTTCTTTGTTAACTACACTTGGAGAGTGCTCATTTATTTATGTATCATCTGTAGTTGTGAAAGAGATTTTACGGCCTGCCAAACCAAATGTATTTATTATCTGTCCCTTTACCAAAAAATTTTGTTCTCCTCTGAACTACGGTATGGAGTTATGGTGGAGAATATGAGTGGATCTGTCTTGTGTGGCCAGGATGAGTGTTGTGTGTGCAGGTGGGAGTGGTGGTACCTTTCTAAGGCTTATGACAAGTTTTAAACAGAAGAAGGAAGTTATTTTAACTTCACAGGTATGTAGTAACACTAGCTTCTTATCAGCTTTAATGGTTTTGGAATGTGAACATAAGACAATTTTGCCTGTCTGGCATTTTAGGGGCCATGACAGCCTATTACCTGTCTGGGTGCTTACCTCCCAGCTCTTGGTTGTTGGCTCACTGAAGAAATTGTCAATCATATTCAGCTCTTCCTTTTCCACCACCACAAAGCCTTGCTCCTTGGCATCTTTCCCATAGACATCAGGAGACCACTGAACAAAGAAGGTGTACAAATGATCCACTCTGAAAAACATGTTGGTGATATGTGTTAATACCAACTCCGCATTCCTGGCTGGCACCAGTAGAGCCTCAGGTGCATTCAACCACCTTTTTCCTGCTTGGAAAATCTATTTCACTAACTAGGAAATTTCCTACTGTCAATGTTATCTTTATGAGTAGCTTCCAAATTTGGAAAATAAGAACCCACAGATACTGAACCACTATTTAGACTATCTCTGTCTGAAGGAAAGATCAAGAAATGGGACAGGAAACTGAGAAACCCAATGAAATGTTTACATGAAATGTTTCTTCTTCATCGAGTTTCATTTACTAGAAGGAGGGAAAAAAGTGTTGAGCTGAAGCTTTAGCCAGGAACAAGGATAAACTATAGTTCAAAGAGCCTTTTTATAGCACAAGGTACTATGATAGAATGATTTTAAGAAAACATCTCTGATAACTAGCTAGGAATACCATTAGTTATTTTACCATTAGAACGAGAACTAATTTTGTGACATGGGAATGTCCTTTACTTCCAATTTCTCTGATTTCTTACACATATTTAGGATACAAAGTTTTTGAACCATCTCTCTAGGTGTAATCAGTAAGAAAATGGCTAGCTGGCGAGCAGAGGTTGGGTGGGGGCTCTAGTTCCACTGCTTGCAGTGCCCACCCTGTGTATAACAGTCACAGGCACTCTGACCTTAGGTTATTTACCTATAAACCATGATGGTAAGGGAGGCAATGGGCAGGATCACATGGTTCTTCAAATCCTTTGCAATTGCAAAAGAGGTCAATTTATCATTACTTTTAAAGAAGTTGCAATGTTTCATGTCAAAATACTTCACAATATTGTTAGGAGTAAAACAAAAACAGAAGACTACCCCTAGGTAGTAATTATCAAACTACTTTCAGGCTCCCACCTGCCTATCCGCTTTTGTCCACATGTTTACTTAGGTAATACAAAGTCTTCATTGTAGGGCTTAGCGAGATGGCTTAGTGGTTAAGAGCACTGGCTGCTCTTGCAGAGGACCTGGGTTCAATTACCAGCACCCACAAGGTGGCTAACAACTGTCCATAACTCCAGTACTAGGGGAATTCGATGCCCTCTTCTGACTTCCACAGGCACTGCATGACCCAGGTGCACTTACATACATGCAGGCAATACATTCATACACATAAAATAAAAATAACAAATAAAATATTTAAAGTTCTCATTGTAATCAGAAACAACACATAATTGTATTATATGTAACAGCACATAATACACAAGTCTTAGTATTAATCTATAATAGCCATATTGCATGAAAATCAATAAACCATACCTAGCCTACATTTCTATGTTGTCAGGATATTTAGTTTACAGCTTTCTTTGATTATATGAATAATGTTGCACGGTATGCCCATATAGTCTACACTGTGTACCATCTTTTAAAATTATTTCCTCAAGATTAGTTCCCAGAAAGGGAATACTATAAAAAGGGCATGATTTAACAGTTCTAGATTGATCCTGTCAAACTAAATTTGAAAGGCTCACTGGTTTATCTAGACACTGTCACTTTTGGTTTCTAAGTTTCCCAGCAACCGTTTTTATCATTAAAAAAAATTAGTGTACACAAGTAGATAGCTCAGATGATAAGGGCATCTGCCACCAAGCCTGATGACCAGAGTTCAATCCCAGGACCCACATGGTGGAAGGAGAGAACCAATTCCTATATATTGTTCTCTGACTTCAACTCGCATGCCATAGCAAGTGTGCTCTCTCCCAACATACAGAATTAATAAATAAAAACGTTAAATGTTTAAGCACTTATAACATCTAAGTTTTATCTTACTCAGGTGCACTTCTTCGAGGTTACACATATTTCAATGTTTCCTTCCTGGCTGGAGTCATTCTTTTGTGAATTGACTAGTGATTTATAGTATCAGTATTTTTCTTTTCAATTTGTATGAGCCTTTATGTAGTGTAAATATTAACCACTATCATCTGTGTTCCTAAGTGGCTGCTTCCCTTTTCAAAGTAATTGTGTCTTTCCCCTAGAGTATGGAACTGCCAATATTCAAATATTATAACATTATATTTCCTTCCAAAAAACTAGGTTATGAAAGTATATGTTAGTATTGTGAGATGCTAACATATATTAAAATATAGATACAAATATAGATACAAATATAAATATAGATATAAATATGTTCATGTTCAAGGATGTGGTGATTATGTTTCTGTTTGGTTTGGCCATGACATTCAGGTTTGGGTCAAACACTAGCCTCAATGTTGCTATGAAGGCAATTTCTTTAGATATAATTAATATTTAAAGCACTTTAAATATTAAAGCACTTTAGCAAAGCAGATTACCCTTCAAATAATAGTAGGCCTCATCCAATCAGTTGAAGATCTTAAGAGATTAAGACTGAGGGATTCTGCCATTCAACTTTGTTTAGATTTGTGCATCAACTCTTCCTGGGGTCTCCAGACTACTGATACCTGAAAATTTCAATCTTGCCAGCTCCATAATCACA